CAAACTGCGATATGAATTTCAAGCAGCTGTGATTCATATACTAGTTTTTCCTCTCATCTTTCCGCTTTTTTTTTTTATTTTCGCAATACAACGTCCCCGGCACAAGGACATTATATGCAAATTGGCGACGGTATATATTGTCACAAACTAATACTTTACACGATATTATTGTCGACGAGAGTATCAAGATAGCGTGAATAGAAAGTCAAAAGGGGATGTAAACGAGCGCGTTCGGAGATAATAGCAATCGTTTTAAGGGACAACAACGCATATATACTCTCAAGTACTCTCAAATATCGATTTGTTCTTTAAACTCTGCCGCGCGTGCAGTTTGTTTTTTTTTAATTTTATTTTTGCTAAATAAAATTTTCTCATTTTTCTTTCTTTACGCGTAATGCGAGAATTTATTGATTCGAATAATTCTGATTTCACTGCCGTTTTTTATCTATCGCTCAACACTTATAAGCAAAAGTGTTTTCCATTCTATTTCTCTTCGGATTCAATTTATATGTTACGAAATATACGATTAAATGAATAAATTAATGGATAGATACGCAAACGTGTGTATAGAATAATGCCTACATTCGAAAAACTGCGTGCGGCGATAGAAATGGTATTTGAGCTTCGAGTATAGAATTTAATGGACAAGAGTAAGAGTCGAATATTTAATTTTGCGATATCATTATTTTAATATCGCGCGGACGGATGGACGGACGGACGCGTCCGCTGTGTAACGCCGCGCAAATTTAATTAATCGTATTCCAGAATTTATAACCCGCTGAAAACATTTTTGATACGGTATTTGGAAACTTTATGATCCATTTGCCAAACGCCAACTCTCTAATCAGACTCGTTCAGAAACCGCGGCGAAAACTCTCATTTCAATGTATCCTCACGGTCGCCAGTCATTAACGGCACCGTCACGCGTAAATATTAATTAAAAACCCGTTTTCAGAGGAATACCGATTTGTCGGACGAATATTCTAATTAAAGCTACGCGAGCCGGGTTCGGCGGTTCGTATGGTAGAACGAAATTCTCGTCTTTCTGTCCGTCGAATGGATTGATCCGCGCGTTATACTTTTTTCTCTTTACACGGATGTAGTAAAATAAATCACGCTTCTGTTCAATTTCAAATGAAAAGTCAAAGATTTATATCATTTTGTACAACAGAATAAAATTTCTTTCGGACTATCAGTATTTCATTTTATCTCGTATAATCTTTGGCGTCCGTGTCTACGTCTCTCGAGTATCGTGCTGTGCGTTTAAAGGATTTAATTAAGTAAAGCAAGCGCAGATCCAAAAGTAAAATGCGCATATTTTCCTAAAGCAAACAATTTCTAACGACTCGGAATCGAACGAGACCGAACGTTGAATTAAGTTTAACGCCGCTCGAGAGATCACAATTAAAATCACACACGTTGATAAATCCGCGTTCTCGAATCGAACATCGAAACGAAAGACGGTGCATTTTATATCGTCGCGATTAAAACTAAGATAGCGATGGAATGTAAGACGATACGTGACAAGTGCATTGCGTGTTAATAAAGTGGTTCGTGAAATATCACAGAAGTCGCACAGAAGTCACGATCATCGATCGAGATGTAGACACGTCGACTTTTTTTTTTAAACGATTGTGCCACTCGCAAATCGAACGAAAAAAAAAAACGCGCGATAAGAATTCGAGTAAGAACAATTTGTATAATCATCACAGCTCTAAACAAAATCACTTAGCTGCCCATTGTCTACGAACCCTAGAATATTAAGTAAAATGTATTACGTCATCAAAATAATGAATGTTAGAAATATACGTGTGTGAAATTCTTTCATGTATCCCGCGGAATATTATGATTGAAGAGTTTAACGCTATTAAAATATTAAGTTATTATTCCAAAAATAACGCGTTCCAATGCGAAATTTATTTCAAAAAGAATGTTTAAAATAACGCTTCTCCGAGATGTACGCGTTTCTTTAAAAACGACAGTTAGCATTCTAGGGTCAACTTTAAAGAGATTATTTATTCGCGGCGAGTTCAAATCGAAATTGGCTCGTACCGACTATCCGATACCTCCCTATTCTCTGCGAGGCGATTCCTTCTCGATGCCGTTTTGCAGGCCTCCGCGCACGGAATGCGATGAATATTTTAGAGATCGATCGACTTCGAGCGACTCGGCTCGCTCGGCGGGAGGGGGAGGCCCTTGCGAGGAGAACGACGGAAAGTAAGTGGCTGCTAAATATACAATGCGCTCATCGAATCGCTTAAAAGGAAGAGACGGAAAAGAGCTCGTCTGCGTTCGCATGTAATCGCCTGCGACCGCGATAGCATGTTTATCGCTTTCGAGGATACGCGAAGACGCGCGCCTGTTTTTCGTCCTCGCATGTCGCGCCGAATTAAATTACCCCGTGAGGAAATCAAGTGGGAGTTACATTTGTATCCTCGCCTTTGAGGAATCGGACCGATCGGCTGTCGACGATGATCGTCTCCGATAATTTTCGGAAAAAAGCCGCTAGTCTGCTCGCACAGGCCATATTTGCGTACACGCTAATTACCTTACCTTATCTAATAGGAAAACAAAAGTATGTATCTCGAATACTGGTTCTCGTATCACTCGAACGTTTGGGTCATCGTGTATATTACATGAAAAATACGTAGGATGTACTGTAACAGACATGCTAGATGAGATTTGCGGATAAAAATCCAAATAATTCTTCCTTTACAGAAAGTTTTTAATATGATGCTTTACTATTGTGCTATATATTATTTTAAGTTATAAATAATTAGAGTAAGAAATTCCTGTGAATTAATAATTAAAAAAATTTTGTCTCGACTATCAAGATATCTGTCACTAAGATTTTTAAAAAATTACGAAAAAAAGTCAAAGATTATTTTGATGCTGTGCACCAGGAATGTACGGAAAACATGTCTATTATTTTAAACATCCTGTCAAGCTGATCTTTGTCGCGGATGTCTGCCGCGTTTAATTTATTCATGTTTGACTTTGAGACAATAATCTGCGATTTATGATCGATATTCTGTTCGCTATCGAGCGATGAATCGTAACTGTGGAAATAAAATCCACGTAGAAACCTCGTGTCTTTTCCAAGAGCACGCACGTCCGAGTGACTTTTTCGAGGGATATAAATAAATAAAGATGAATTCGCGAGAATATGGAATAAAAGACGGTATCACACGGAAACCGAGTCTCAGAGCGCTATTACACTATCTAACTATCTTACTTAAGAATGTTAAATAAGAATTAAACTATATATATATGAATAAAAAAAAGTAACATAGAATGGTGTGTCGCGTAGTCAGGTATTGCACTGTGTCAATGGCCACCGCGTCATCGTCGTATTCGTTGCAACTCTTGATCTGTTTGTGGAAAAAGTTGCGTCGCGGAAACGTATCCGAGAAGCTTCGCGGTGTTTGCGGGAATCACGTGCTCGATTTTATTTCGAATCCCTTTGCAGCAACTTATCCCCGCGTGCTAGGGGATCGCTGGGGGGATGAAAAACTCCGGAGAATGCATTTCGCAAAATCGATCCATGTTTTCGGCGCAATGTGCATCGCTCGTATGTCAAACGTGTCCATGATTCGTTGACTCGCGACGACGAAAGCGCGAAGGAAGATGATGTCGACTTGAAAAAAAAAAAAATGAGGAACGAAAGTCAATCGAAGAAGCCACTAATGCCAACGCACTCGTAACAAATTCTCTCTCTCTCTCTCTCTCTCTCTCTCTCTCTTTCTCTCTGAATTTTTTTCCTATTATAAATTTATAAACTGCGTGTCCACACCGAATCGAATTGCACCGCGTAGAATTTCGCTAAGTGGACGTTTCCTGCTTACCCCTCTTTCCCCAACCCACCCCACCCTCCCTCCCACGCGCGTTCTCAACATTCCCAACCCCCCGTGTCAACTGTATAAAATATTCTCAATCGTATCAACAACAGTCGCATCGTACATCGTACAACGTTAGTACATTATTACAATAGTTTATAGTTAATCGTAATCAATATAATATTCACAGCATTTTATCAAAATCTCTTAAAAGCACCAACCGTGGCGGCTCAAATTCCCTCCTTCCTCCCTCCTTGTCCACTCACCGTTTATTCTTGTCGTCCCATTTCGCTTTGTCCGTTTTCCCTCTTCTCTTTTTTTTTTAACGAACCTCATCTCGCTCGTTTGTGTATGTATGTGTGTACGTGTATTTGTATGTGTATATATATATATGTATATATATACCTTCAATAATTTATCGATATATATATATATACGTATAATTTATAATATATATATCTATATATATATATATATATATATTTATATATTTATATGTATATAATAAGCTAAACGTTTCGTCTTAAAGCACTGATTAAACGAGGGAGCTCGTTATTAACGTGTCCCTCCCCCTGAACACGCGTTTACCAACCATCCTAACCAAAATCACAGGACTAACTAGAAACACACCGCCGGCTTCTTGCCCCGTCGCTCGATTGTTGGGGGCCGATAGGGTGACGACGACGCGGGGAGTCGCGCGTCGCGCGGCCCGCGGTGGGTGCAATACATCATGACGCGCGCGATCATGGCGATCAGGTGGACGAGAGGAGATGAGTGGTATCGGGAAAGAATCGGGAAACGTGTCGGGCGGGAGCGGGACGAAACGTGCAGAGTGACGTCGGAGGGACGCGTTGCGGCGGCGGTACCGGAAGCGGGAACGACACGGTCATCGTCGTCGTCGTCGTCGTCGTCGTGGATGGGTTCGCGCGATCGGCGACGACGACAATGTGAAGGCGTCGTCTGTCAACAGGGTGTCCCGTACGGTGATCGTCGTCGTCGTCGTCGTCGTCGTCGTCGTCGTCGTCGTCGTCGTCGTCGTCGTCGTCGTCGTCGTCGTCGTCGTCGTCGTCGTCGTCGTCGTCGTCGTCGTCGTCGTCGTCGTCGTCGTCGTCGTCGTCGTCGTCGTCGTCGTCGTCGTCGTCGTCGTCGTCGTGATCGTCGTCGTCGTCGTCGTCGTCGTCGTCGTCGTCGTCGTCGTCGTCGTCGGCGACAACGGCGTGACGGAGATCATTGCTGCTGAGACTAAGGCGAACTCAATGATGCGGCGGTGGCGGCGGCGGGGCCTCTTCCTCGGAAGGGTCCACGGGGCTCGGGGACAGGAACTTGCGCACATATTTCGGGTAATGTGTCTTTTCGTGGGCCTTGAGTATCGTCGACCTCGAAAAGGTCTTGCCGCAAAGCGTACACCGGAACGGCCGCTCGCCGGTGTGCACGCGACAGTGGTCCTTCATGTGATGGCGCAGCTTGAACGCCTTGCCGCAGAACTCGCACTTGAACGGCCGATCGCCGGTGTGCGCCGGTAGGTGGGCGATCAGCGAGCCGACGTCCGGGAAGGACTTGCCGCAAAACTTGCAGAGGACGACGCCGGAGGTCGGGTCCGAGTGGGCCGCGAGTTCAAAGTCCATCGGCTCGATCGTACCCGCGGCGGGATAGTGGGCCTCAGGCGGCAGGTGCATGCCGGGCTCGAGGCCCAGCTGTGCCTGCAGCTGCAGGTGGGCCGCCTGCTCGCGGTACTTGAGCGACTCGAGGCTGTGCGAGAGGATGTGCCGCGTCAGCTTGCTCTGGTGGAGGAACGAGGCACCGCAGTACATGCACGCAAACACCCGCTCATCCACACCCATCAACTCCTGCAACCAAACAAACAAGAACATCAACTTCTTGTCTTCCCTCCGGCGCTCTGTACCCCCGCGGGAAAGACTCATCTCCGACTCTTTCTCTCTTTTTTATCTTTTTTTTTTCCTCTCTATCTTTCTCTCTTTCTCTCTCTCTCTCTCTCTCTCTCTCTCTCTCTCTTTCTCTCTTTCTCTCTTTATTTTAATCTATTTTGAGTTACTGCTCTATTTTTGCTCTCTTTGGCATTTCTCTCTGGCCTAGTCCCGTAAGTATCCTAACGGCATATTTTAATACTAATTATGTTACATACTGCAATAACGCGTGACAAATCGTTCGCCCCGGCACTACTCGATCCGCAGAATACACAGATACATTTATATTTACATATATGTATATATGGATATTATATAGATATATGTATATATATATACCGCAGCGCGCATCATTTCTAAAATGCATTAGCGCTGTGGCTACTTTGAATGGATAAGAAAAAGATAACGTGTCTTTCCACCTCGCGTTGTGCTCCCTTCTTTCGCTTTCTCTCTCTTTCTTCCTTCCTTCTTTTCTCCCTCCCTCCCTCCCTCTCTCTCTCTCTCTTTCTCTCTGTTTCTCTATGATGACTAATTTTTTCTAATGCATCTAAGTTTTCGGTAAAAATAAAAATAAAAAAAGGACAGGCAAGCTCGTTCTCTCGACACTACTATAAGCACGTGTTACGACTAAACAAGGTTTTCTTTCTCTCTCTCTCTCTCTCTTTTTCTCTCTCATTCTCTATCTATTTATCTATCTATCTATCTATTTTGTCTTTCAATTTTCTTTCGTGTCTAATTCATAAATTTCATTCGTTCGGAGGAGAAAGTGTCTCCAGCGTGGCGAGAAGTTGACACTTCTCGGCAGCACACAAGACGGTATTCACAAGAAGTTGACGCTCATTTTTGTTTGGCGCGTCGCGCACCCCAGGCACATGTATGACAAACTATTTGAGTGTGTTACGATGTATATATGTATACAGATGTTCCCGAGCTTCTATCGCCTATGAATTCTTCTCACTTATGAATTTTTTGACCAATTTGGAAATGTGAATAAAAATGTTACAATTATAAGTAGTATAAGTGTAGATGAATAAATTATTTTAATATAAAACTGTTGATTTACAAACAGAAACAAAAAATTTGTAGCCAAAATAAGTTTTAGAAATAACGTAAACTCTGATTCGCTAGATAGTTTGGAACAGATTCAGCGAAATCTTACTGTGAGGCTGATTTATATGAAAATATTTAATACTGATGATATTTAAGATACTAATAATGCCAAAATAAGAGAAAATATATCATCAAATTTATTTAAAAAAAAAAGATTTGAAATTGGTCAAGAGATCCATAAATAAAGCAAGCGGCGATAGTTTCGAGGGTAGAAACATCTTGTATATATATAGATAAATATATATATATATGTGTGTAAAGATATATAAGTAACAACAGATATATATATGTATACGGGCCCATAACAATTCCCACAGCCTCGTTCTCAACCCGCCCCTCTCGTCCCTCCTCCCTTTTTTTTTTGTACTCGCAGCCGCGACGCAAAATTTATTCGCCGTAGCAAAAGGCATTGCACTCAACCAAAACGACAAATCAAAATACAGATATTACAAAGTAACAAATGGTATAATGAATATGTCAATAATATTTGTCAATATATATATATATATATATATATATATATATATATATATATATATATATATATATATATTATATATATGTATATATATGTATATATATTTTGCAAAAAATATATATGTAAATATATATAGATATTTATACCACAGTGTGTATAAACGATATGCGATGTATACATAACGTATGTGTATATATATGTATATATATTTATGTATATATATATAAATGTAGTAAAAAAACAACCATGGCCAAAAACGAAGGTCAACTTCTTGACAGTGAGCTAGCAAGACAGGCTGGCAGGACGGGAAAGGATTTGTTCGGCTTTTTGTTATCTCTTTCGCTTGTCAATTTTTTCGTCTTTCTCGAGTGGTAGATTTTGAGCGCACTCTTTTTTTTTTTCGGTTTCCTCAAAGCACGTGGAGATGGAATTCACGGACGGAAGGGATCGAGTTTTTACGATCAGCTGATACACGCTTGGCTCGCGAGCTGCACGCGAAGCAAGAAAAATGCTGCGCAAAAGGGGTAGAAAAGGAAGTGATACAGAGATGCGAAATATGACTAAATTAAACATACAAGTTTTATATTAATTTAATTAATTAAAGACAATTCAATATATTCTCAATTAATTAATTTTTTTTTTGCATCAATGTATCTCATGCCTGTTTCGAGTATCATTCTGATAAATTATTCGATTTAGTGATAAAACTGATAAATGAAAAATAATCTACTTTGATTTAATTAACGTTCGCATCTCTGTTGTTAGAAATCAGAACGAGGGATGAAGTAGAATAGATAAACGGTAGTAAAAACTGGAAAATAAATGACTAAACAGGAACGAGAGAGAGAGAGAGAGAGAGACACGCACAAGAAATGTGTATGTGTCTGTACGTTGAAAAAGGCAGAAAAAATATAATGGGATATGCACAAAGAGTGTAAGAGACAGTAAAATAATTCGGAAAAAAAGACAAAATATATTTGCCACGGGCAGACGGACATGCACGTTTTCTTGCATTTATTACGTCTTGACGAAAATGGCTTCTCAAACTAGCGTCGAATATAACGCACGAATACAAAGCCGATATATCGAAAAAGACTACAAATATCATAAATAAGTGGAAAAGAAGTCCTTTTGTGAGCGATATTAATAATCAGGAAATATACGTGAAGAATGTTCCTCGCGTTTGTATTGTATCTCAAATGTAAACTAGCTTCTTCAACCTTTTATAAAGAAAACTTTAAGAAAAAAATTCAACGTAATTTTTCACGAGTGTCTAACAGCTTTTTCGCAAGGTCTTCAAATCTCTTTACATGTCAAAATCTCCGCGATATAACTATAACTATTCTTCTTTCGTTCTTTCTCTCTCTTTCTTTCTCTCTCTCTCTCTCTCTCTCCCTCTCTCTCTTTCATAATTAAAAACGATATTTACATTATACCGCGCAAAAAGTCGTGGCTATACATTTCGTAATTTAACGAACAAAAATTAAGAATACTTTTAAAATAATATTTTGTCAATGACAATTGACAAGAGCATCAACGTTACTGATAAAAAATTTTAAAACTTCTTTCGCGTGTCAAAACGTTAAAAGAACTTGATCATAGGTTGACTACTGTAGGCGGGATCAATTTGTTACATATCAAGCGCAATGGAACGAGCGAGAATCCTGCGAGATCATCGATCCTCCAGACACCGCACGGACGGCAATTTCGTTAATGACGCGACAATTCTATCAAATTAGCGGGGGAGAGCAGCAAACAGCAAAGCACTTGGGCACATGCAAGAGACTCACATGCAAAGTGAATTCGGCGCACACACACACGTACGCGCGTGCGTGCGCGCGTGTCATGCGTATGCGATTATCCGTCGGACTTTCGGACGGTGAAGCGAAGTACATACGTTTATCAAGTACGTATCGAGACGCGGTACGTGTCTGAAAATCGCGTCCATCCTCACCGGGTAGCACGTTACGAACGATCTGCCGTGACTTGATTATAATAATGACGTAAAATACGATACATAATGCATCGCAATGCGTAATTGCAGTTGCAACTTGGAGGGACTTGGCGCAGCAGTACATCGTCGTCTCATCCGCAGCGTGCCACTCCTGGCGACGATTGCGGATGAGCGGGACGATAACGGTTATCAATAGTATATATGTATATATAGGTATATATATATATGTATAGAAATGCAGAGCAAAGAGAGGATACGAGAATAAAAAGTAGTCAATAATAAATTGGAAATATAGATATATATATATATATAGACGATTCGCCGGAAAAAGGGAGACTCACCGGATCTGGTGGGAGTCTGTAGTCTGCGGATATCTCGCTGCTCGCGCTACGCTCCTCGGTCGACCTTTCCCAATCCATCTCTTTTTTCAGGGACTGCAACAGAAAACAGTGCATTGGATTTATATCCAAGTGATAAATAAATGCGCGATATCGAAATCATGCAGCGTTATATGACAGATATCGTCGAAATTATCATCGTTTCCTTTTTCATAATAATTACGAGAATAGTTATCAACGTTTTAAGCTGAATCGATCACGCACAAGAATATCTGTCAAAATTAAATTATTGATAGAGTTTACGTCGGTACGAAAGCACGAAAGCATTTGCGATATAACGCTATTTTTACGTTGGAAAATTGTAACTTCGAATATGCAGAAGAAAATCGACATTAAAAAAATTGTCGAATTTCAATCGAATTTCTATATTAACATATCAACCAACATCTTTCTACGAATCTTTGACGTCAATTTTTTACAAATTTAGACTATAGGTTTAATTATATATCGACCTAATATGACAGATTAGCATTTTATCTATACTCGAAACCTACTTTATAAAGTTCGAATCAATGCTTATCTAAACAGCCTATTAACGCAACCGGGCAAGCAGGACTCATTATAAATTGGCAGCTATATTAACATTTTCAAACATAACACATTTCAGATTAATAAAAAAATTATTCTGTACTTTCTCAATTTATTATTTCTTATCCTATTGGATATCAAGAAGAAAAGTATCAATATTATTACATATCAGCTGTGCAGCAGCCTCCGGATTCCGCTTGCCCGGACTAGGCTTGAGTTTTCTCAAGCAGTTTACAAGAATTGAACCGGGGGTAAACCCGACGGACCGGCAAGGGGTTCGGTACTGTGCGGGGACGGAAGCCGGCTCTGCGGCAGATTCAACGGCAGCACGCTGCCGGGCGTGCCGCCGCCGGTGTTGTTGCTGAGACTCATGTCGGATGGTCCGCTGTGCACCGAGATCGGGCTGAGGGAGCCGGCCCTCGTCTCCTCGAGGCTAGCCGCGTCTTCCGAGTCCCTCCTGGGCCGGTCGAGGGCCAGCGGTCCCGGACACGGGCTACCGGGTCCCGCGGGCGACGGCGAACAATCCGTCATGTCCACCGCCTCCGCGGGCTCGCTTGGGGTGTTCTGAGCAATGTTGCTCGATTGTTGCTGTTGCTCGCATTCCTTGGTACCAGCCGATACTCCGGCGGTGACGTTCGATTCTCGCTCCCTGTCCTTGCCGCTCGTCTCTTTTATGCTCTCTCGATCTCGTTCTCGATGATGCTCCCGCGACGTGTCGGATGTACTTGTGTGTTGTTGTTGTTGTTGTTGCTGTTGTTGCTGTTGTTGTTGTTGCGATTGCTGCTGCTGCTGCTGCTGTTGCTCTTCCCTAGATGCTACCGCTGCGTTGATATTCGTCATGTCCGCTAGACCCTTAACCTTGAGGCTCTCCGCTGTCTTGAGGAGGGCCGATAGCTGGCAGTACTCGACGTTTACCTCGCCCTTGTACATGAAGTCGACGAGGGTACGTAGCTCGGCGAAACGTACGTCCTTTAGGATGACGATGGGGTGACGGTTCGGATGGTCGAGGAACAGGGCCTGGAAGTAGCTGGAGCACGCGGAGAGGACTACCTTGTGTGCGCGTATCGACGGTCCCTCCGTGCACGCCAGTGTCACGTCCACCAGCGACTCCGACTCCAGCAGTTGACTGAACACACCCAGCAAGTTGCTCTGATGATTGTTCCACCTCAGGCAGTAATGCTCACTTCCCATGTCTGAACTGCACCCCGCAACCCTGCTGTATAAGAAAGACCTGTATCCTCCGACACTCGCGCAGAGCGTTCCCTAAGAATGTATCGCGTCACGTGGCCCAGATATTGCGACTTGTTCGCGATTACTGTATATGCTCCGAATAATTAGTTCGATAAACAAGCGTTTGAAGAGCGATATCTCGTAGAAAAATGAAACAAGTTTTCCCTTGACAAAATTAAAAATTGTCAATATATTATCTTTTCGTAATTTTTGAAACATTAAAACCAGATATTTTGATAATTTTTTATGAGAATTAAATTTAAAATAACAGAATTCATTTAAAAACAACAAAAAAAAAGAGAATTTTGTTATCTATTCAAGACTAATTTGCCGCTTTATATAAAACATTTTTTTAATTACAACAAAGAAACTTTCTCGTCAAAGAAAGATTATTTCAATATTCCAAAAGAGGAATAATCATCGCGGAATCGAATGTATCTATTACGAAAGATTTGGTGAAACGAATCGGTGGAAGGTGCGAGCAACGGAAGCAATACGATTCTTTGACGCGTAACTACAATTTATTATCCAAAGAGTGTGTTTATTTTGCAGCGTATATCGATTCACGGCAAATGCGCGCGTTTACACCAACGCACTTTTGCGAACGCATGTTTATGCGCTCGTCGCCGGTGCATCCGAACACATCCGGAGATGCACGGCCGATATCAGCTGACGATATGCACACATGCTTATCTTTTATTATTCCTTTTCCCGCTATTCGACTGTATTTATTGCCGCCGCCTAATGCGTGAAACGGCGCGCACGCACGTGTCGCGGACATGTGCACAAGCCCCGGCGCGGGCGACACGCACACATATAATTATGCCGAAGCGTTATTCGCGTAAACGTGCATTCGCGTGATATATCCGCGGCTATATGCGCGATGGCGTGTATGTACTGCCGCACGATATTCGCGTGATTATTCGCTTGGCCCCCGCGATATTACGGTGATGCATGGCGGGACCTGCATCGTATATACGGTGTCCGACACTTCGTCTCTATTCATTTCGCCAAAAGTCATAGCGACTTTTTTTTTCCTTCATGAAAATCTTATCGAGACATCGATAGCCTCCGCTCATTTGAAATGACTGAGAATAGAAAAAAAAAAAAAAAAAAAAAAAAATGACAAGAGATGCTGAATTGATGCTTTCGTGACGCAACTAAATTAACGACATTTTATCAGACGTTCGAAAATTCCCCAAAAAGATTCTTTCTCTTTTCAGAATTTTTATTCAAGATTAAAATATACGCGTAAAATCGAAGAGTCGTTATTTATTATATAACGATATTGTATAAAGATTGAATATTTTCAATAGTAAAAAATCGACAACAAAAGAGATCAAGCGGATATCTCCTTTGATGCCGCTTTTATATCGCCAATTATGTTGCAGCCTATACAATGTTAATCGCGAATTCGAGGGAAGCAATGTTGAAGTGCGAATGATCAGTTTTCAAGCGTTTTAAAACAGAGGCTCGCGCGCATTCAAGCTTTAGATAAATTGCACCTGTCAATTGTGCCAGAAAGGTTATAGGAATTACCTGCACTCTCGCCGGTTAAATATAGCGTCGGCATGTTACGCATTGATTTCATCGTTTCACGGCTATAACGTCGGTTGTTACCGGAATCTTCGAAACTTTTTTTTTTGCGCCGGAAGCGCTAGGGCCGCTTAAGTGATAAACTATATTTCCCAACTCACGTCAAGTGATTTTCATTAAAGATTTAACAATAGTTTTGTCATAAAGTATCGATTAATATGTTTGCAAATTTAATGCTTTCTACTCGTATTTCGCGTTTTACAATCTCGAATGTAAAACAAGTTCATTTACAATAAATTTAAAATAACATCCTCCGTGCTTATAGTTTGCAAATCGCTAATTATTGTTTAATATATAAATTTGTAATAATAATTGGATGTAGACATATAAAAGAATAACAAATGCAACAGAAATACACAAATGCACATAACATATATGTAATAATAATAATATATATATAATTTTATAATAGAATGAAAATATATAATAATAACATAAGATAAAATAAATAAGTTAAATATATAAGAGAGAATAATAACATATATTATTTGTTTGTATTGTTGTTTGTAATAAAATATTCAATAAATTTATTATTAGAAAAAACAATGCTAAATAATTTCTCATCGGGTCTAATTCAGTTCAACACTTCCTTGTAACAATCATGCGTCACGCATTCGATATAGCTATTTTCAAGCATGTAAATGCCGAGTATAGAGCACGTCGCATCGATCGTTAGATATATTGCCGTATTAAATATATAAAAAGGAAAAACGAACCACCACATGCGTTACCCGCGCTCGCGCGTATGCAGTTTATTATTCGCGAATACAGAAATCGACCGATTAATTCCAGGGAGGAACGCGCATGCTGCTGTGGCTCGCCGCTCTTTTTCCGCGCAATAAACGCTGCAGTTTGACGCGGGTTCTCTCTCTCTCTCTTCTCTCGCCGTGCTTTACAAACTTTACTCACAAGTACTGGTTTCAGCGAAATCGCTTAATAGCGAAAGTTAAGAACCTAAAGTGGATGTGCATATCTATGAATGCTCGCGGAGTGAGCGGCGAAGGCGTACATACATATCGACAAACAATATTGAGTACATTGTCAACTGTTTGCACTCGTTTAAATTGTTACGTTCGCATCTCTCAGCATCCATATTTATCTTTATATATATTTATATTTATATATAATTTCTATTATCTTATTATTTTCTATTCTATTAATTTCTATTAATAACTCTAATTCAACGTCGAAATATAATTTTTAGCTTGATATTAGTAGTCACTTTATAAAATTGCATCTCCTACTAATTTCAATCTATTTATTATTAACAACTATCTCTCTTTTACTTCCTTTATTATAGTACACATATAAAAAACCACTTTTGTGATCTCAAAAATGATTGAAAGATATAAATCAAAATATGATTCTTGCACGATTGCTCATCGTTTGTCGCAAAAGAATTTTCTGTCTGATAATTTATAATTGTTATTTATCGATATGAAATCGATAAAAGCAATCATATTTGATAATGTTTCTTTCTCAAATTTCGCGGGAGCTCGGCGCCCTGCCAATGGCAACCGTATCATCATTGACGTTTGTGTCGCCAGTGTTGAAATTTTTTCTCAAGAAAATTTTCTGTCTTCTAAATTGACCTTTAAAGATTCGTTAAGTTAATGTTTCAAAAATAAAACAATGTAGTGACACTATAGTATATATTGGAACATTTAAAGTAAAAATACTAAAGATTGTTTTTAGAAAGAAGAGAGAAGAAAGAGGCGCGTTATACATATTTTAGAGAAATACAAAGGGGATGTATCTATTCACATATGTATTCCTTTTTATTTATGAATTTCTTAATTAATAAAAAAAAAATCACCGATAACTACCGTTTATTTAATTCGATTCGTTATAAACAGACTTCAAATGTTTTCTAACTTTTTCTCCTTTTCACGTTTACCAAGTTTGTAATGTGTATTACGGATGCGATCGTTTCCTTCTCACTGTGCGTGTACTTAATTTTCCTGCGTGATTTTTCTGCGGTGGTTCATAGCGGCAATGGCGGCGGTGCATTATTACATAAGTCGGTACGGCCCGCAAGCCGTTATTTATGTCATTTCAGAGGTTTTCTTTGGGTCAATCCATTTATGTACGATATGCATGCGTGGTTTGCGACGTGAAAACTTTGCGAGTGTTCCATTCGAGTTGCATCTCTCTTCGCATAATGTCCCGTGCAAATCCATGCAAACTGCCTTAGAAGTAGTAAATCGTTGACAATAGAATTATAAGGACCGTTTTACCTTTATTGCGTAAAGTTAAGATTTAACCAATTGTCAGCAAACGAGATGGAATCACCGACGTTTATTTTTCAATAAAAATAGAGAGATGTAGCAATGCAAGAATATCAAATATATTTCGCGGAATTTGCAATTGTTTATATTTATTCAGCAATTTATATCTTTGATAATGTAAAAGCAATTTATCGGAATGAATTTTGTATTGTGATTATCAGCTGTTTATTCACGGTAATCTAAAATTAGTAATAGAGGAAGTATAATAGAGAGTAGTTCTTTTGCGGTTGTCACATGACATTTTTCTCAATCGTAAACTTGGCACAATGTACCTTGTAAGATATATCTCTTTGTTGGCTGTCTTGGCGTAAATTCTTGTTTACAATCAGAATGTTTGACGTCTTATCCTGTCATATTTAAATTACATTTACGCATATATCATTTCAAATATTTACATACATAAAAATAGTGCACAAAAAAAGAAGAAAAAATGTACATTTTCTATCACATTCTTTCCGCATTTTATATTCTCAAAATTACTTAACATATATCTAAATTGATATCCTTGACTTTTTGGCCAAATTTAGAAAATTTGAAAAATTTCTTTCTCAAAGTCTATGCAAGAGTTGCAATCGTTATATAAGAGAGACTTCGGAAGAAAAATCGCGAGAGCACGATAAGAGAAGTCGATCGATGGGAGGTCCATTTCGGCGCATAAATCGTCGCATAAATTGCGGGATTACGGCGTTCCACTTGCATGCGCGATCCGCGCGGTAAAATTAGACGGTGCTACCGTGGCGGCGGTGCGGGAAAAAGTTCGCGGCTGTGCGTTACCGCGCGCGTGTGAGTGCGCGTGGGTGAGGCGCGCGTGTTTGTTACGTACACTTATACATAGCCGGCCCGCTATCCGCGATTGCGCACGTCGCACGCACGATCCGTCGTGGCGCGTGTTAATTGATACGCGTTCGCGTACGTATGTGTGGGTGGGTGTGCGTGACGCGAGAGCGTGGGACGGATAACGCTCGGCGAGATATCAGTCGGTTTAACCCTCCGATTGGGAGGAATGAGCGGTTCGCTTTGCGAATTTTCTTCTCCCGTCTGACACGTTCTTTTGTTGTGCGTTACGTCTTTGTAGCGTGTTTCTTAATATACTAATAATAAA